CTTTTGTGTTACTTAAAATTTTATTGTGAATCTTTTATTTTATATTGCATATAACTTAAAATATTAAATAAAATGGTTAGTTAATTTGCACAACCATTTGTGATTTTGCCCAAATTTTTTATTTACTATATAATTACATAATTAAATATTTTAGTTCAATGCTAACTTTTGTATTGTTTAAAATTTTATTATGAAATTTTAATATTATATTCTACATAACCTAAAATATTAAATACAATGTTCAATATAGTTTGCACAAGCATATATGGTATTTCCTTAATCTTTGAAGTCTAAAATAATAAATTTATTATATAAATTCTATAATTAATTATTTCAGCCTAAAGCTAACTCATGCACAACATTTAATCTTAGATTAACTGTTTTAAAATCATATTTTACATAATCTATAATATCAAATTATTAATTTGTAGAGTTCGTCTGAGGATATTTATTATTGCCCGAAGCTTTAAAGTCTAGATCAGCTGATTTTATATAATGTGATAATTCAGTTATATATGATTGGCAAAATGATCGAAATGTGATATAAGCATGTCTGCTATGCTATATGTGATAGATATACAACTGTTCCATATCATCTATCATCAACTGCAGCATATTCTTCAAGAAATTATTTAACATACTTCTAAAATTCAGTATATTTTTCAGGTCTATCTTTATTATAGTTACATAAATCAGCTATTATTTTATCATCTCTATTAATAAGTAGTTGTTTTACATGTAACATTACTTGCTTTTCAGTCATATTAGTAGCTGAACTAGAATCACCAGTTAATTTTTGATATAAAGCACGTGCTTGATGATTTTTTGTCAGTATACCTAAAACTAAATTAACCTTTTGTTTAAACTATTTACGTATAAAGCATGTATGATAAGTTAGCATTTTGCTTTTCAAATTATCACAAATTACATAAGATTTACTTGTTATTTCTTTATTATCTAAACTTTTATCAACACGTTATAAAAAACATGTATGAAATGCAGTGTATAAAATCTATGTGTACAATGTGCATATGTACACATTAATTTTTTATTTGCACATATTACACAATATAAAATGTGCACAAATTATTATTAAAAATAGTAAAAATAATAAATTATGTATAAAAAAGTTAATTTTACATAAGAAAATGTTATGATTTTCTTATTTTAGTAATAATTAATCAATTTGTGCACATAAATTTTAACTTAAATTTTATACACTGATAAAATATACTGTTGCTAGATAAATAATGAAAGACGCCAAATTTGTGACAAATGTTTTCAGATAAGTGATGAATAAATATATATTTTTTACTAAATAATATATTAATAATAATAATTAATATAAATAATAATAATAATTAATTTATTTTATTTTATTTAGTTACCTTGGATCTGAAGGTAAAAATGGTTCAATATCCAATATTTTCCAATAAGGTAAAGTAGAAGTTTATTTATTATTTAAACTATTGTAAATATATTTAATATGAAGATTAGAAAAAAAATGAATCCTATCATAAACTTTTACACTAATTGTGAACTAACAGGAATTTCTAATTGATGATTTCTACTTATTTCAATATTTTGCATATTTAAATATGTAGAATATTGATTTAAACATTTGGTAAATTTTTCTACTATTGGATAAAGCTAAACAAATTGAGAATTTTCCAACCATGATTGCATTTAAATGTCCAAAAAGCAGATTCGCATATCTACTTAAACAATCATAATCAAACTTTGGCCTAGCATTCTTATAACTTGATGGATTTGATTTATTAAAAAAATCTTCAAGCTCTTTTAAAGAATGTATTACTCTTCCTTTCATTTTTTTAACACCATATATATCTACATTCCATATAGAAATTTAAAAAATCATTTATAAAAGATTTTTCTATTGATTTTACTGTAATTTTTCCTTTTCAGCCTCTACCATTATTTTTTATTCATGTTAAAATATCCTGACATAATAGATGCTTTTTATTCAATTTTTTTGGTAAATTTAAGAGAGGTAATGATAGTTAAGTAGAATTAGAAATGAATTTTTTCATTTACTAGTTTTTGGACAAATTTCACCAAAAGTCTTTATTAATAAAGATTATCAAGATTTTTAATTAAAAGCAAAAATAGTAAGTTCTTTAAAAGATGAATTTGTTGATGTTAATATTCAATATGAACTGAGTGAAGTTTTGCGACTTTTTGGAAATTTTGTTTTATTTGAATTGCAAATTCCAGAAAATCATCAATCAATTTTGTAAAAAGAAAAAAATACATTCAAAATACTTAGATAATGAAAGGATTTCCAATAACAGAATGTATCTGCCATTTAAGTATTTCATTTCTATTATTTAATATAATTTTAACACTTATAAAAGGCATATATTAATAAAGAAAAAAGTATTTGATACAAAACTAAAAAAAAAAAAAAGAGTTTAAGTAAAATCTTTACGATAAAGAAAATAGATTGATATTGAAGATTAGATTTTCATGTAAAAAAATTTTATAATTTTTTTGTTCAAATCACCAGATAGAAAAAAATTTTATTTTGATTAATAAATTTTTTGTTCAGGTTACCAGGTAGAAAAAATATTTATTTTTTTTAATAAATTTTTTATCCGGATCACTGGGTAGAAAAAATTGATTTATTAAATTAGCCAATCATATTTTAACAATTGGTTAAATTTTTTTATTAAATAATCTTACTTATTTGTAATCTTTTAATTCTATATGCAATAATATATATGATTTTGATAGTAAATGCTTATGACTCATTCGCAATTAACCCTTATATAACATTATAACATTACTGTGAGATTATTAATTAATAAATTAAAATTTAAATGAAAATTCTTACCATATGAAAATCAAAATTAAAGATTTTGATTACTAATTCAAATTAAATTTAAAGATTATTTTTTTATTATTAGAAAAAAAAACTATATCATATATGATTGTATTATTAATGAAACCAATCATAAACAATATGTTGCTTATTGTTTTCTTAATAATAATCATTGTCACTCTCTTCATCATTGCTTATATCATCATCACTATTTTCTTCATTGCTATCATTAATATCGTTATCATGAATAATATCTATTTTAAGGTTTTTTGATTTAATTGATCAAAGTTAAAAATTAAAGTATCTTCTGATCCATTCATATCGTTCAAAATTGCACAACACTTAAAAGAATGTCAAATCATATTAATATCCATAGCTTTCCAACTATTCTTTATCCAGTGTTACCTAACTAATGATTAGGCAGACTGAAACACGTAAAAAATTGAGTAGAAGTAAGATTTAGCTCAATCTTTATTAAGTTTTGGGAGAGACTTTGGGTGACTCGGGCTATTGTTGACTTCAGTATTCTTTTACGACTAAGTTTTAGAATTGGCAAGTATGAAGACTTTCAATCCACTTCAGGTAACTCGTAATTTCTTAAGAAGTTAAGAAATTACCTTGATGACGTTATAATAAATTATTATAACCAAGTAGCAACATACAGCTTAAAGTATTTATAATATCAAATACTTTAACTCATTGATAACTTTAATACAGTTGATATCATTTAAGTAATTTAAGAATTTACTTAAACTAAGATTGACACTAAGCAGAGTTGATAACGTTAAGTAATTTACAATTACTTAACCAAGGTTCAACACAAAGCAATTGATAACGTTAAGCAATTCAATTATTACTTAACCAAGGGTTGACACAAAGCAATTTGTTTGATATGAGACAATTTAGCAAAGAGTTTTTATTATCTTATAAAATTAACTTTCTAAA